TATTCCGCATATGGAGGTTATTTAACGGTGTGCACCAAAGTGCAATTTAGACTGGAATGCCGTCTATTTCCTGCAGTTGTCCTGCGCATGGGAGCAAGTGCCTTGGCTCCAGCAAGAACTCTCCTCTGCTCATTCATCTTCCTCATCCCTCCTACAGAATAGGCACAATATTTTAAAAGCCGTCTCCCAGCTGCAGGTAGGAACTTTAATTACTAATGCTGTATAAGAAGAAGAATTAAAATAGGTCAATTGCTTATGGGCATATCTTTAATTAGCTTCTCACTTTTCTACCCGACGCTATTCCAAATCCCTTTTTTGTTTGTTGAATGAATCCCCAATACTAACATACAATATATTCATCCTCCTCTTTGCTTTGCTTTGCTGCCAGTCTTCACTGGGGACAAAAGACCTTGGCCAAGTGTACTACGAACCGCTCAAAGACCGACAGGGCAACATTTTACTTGTGACATTAAAGGAGTTCCCAAATGCTACCAGGTGAGTGCTGACTCCAACCAGACAACCACAATACTTGGTCAGCAAAATGTTGAAACTACTCTTTGAAACATTGCCACTTGCCTATAGTTTTTTTTTTGTCAGGACCAAAATCTACTCAACTATAGTTTGCGTTCCACAAAAATTAAATTTAAATGTTATTGTCATATCTATGACTCAGTTACACTCATCAGAGTGTGGATATATTTCATACATTGATGCTTTTTGTTTTCTCTGATTCAAGCCATCCTGAGCCTCCACTGCAATGGATGCCTCTGACTCGCCTGGAGAAGAATCGGAGCAGAGCTCCTCTACTGCCTGAACCCACTGCTATGGATATGCTCTATGAACACCTAAGGGTGAGCCATATTTGGCTTGAAAAGAAAAGGAAAGGGGGGGGGAGAGAGGCTATCAATAGATATACTGTAGGTATTTACACTTAGAATATCCTAGGGAGAAAAAGAACCCCCCCCCCATCCAAAAAAGACAGCATTTTCATTTGATCCCATTTTGCAGGTGTACATAAATATTCTGACTTGTAGAGTTGAGCAATGTCTTTCGGTCACGAAATAATTTGCGAGACCAAATTGAAGGATTTTTCATTAAAAAATAAAAATAAAAAATTAATTAAACAATCCACCTCATGGCCCCAGCGCACGAACACGTCTATGCTGTGGTCATATTTATGAATGAAATACAGAATCTATCTGCCTGCGCCTGGATCAAACCCACCAAAATCACGTCCCACCGCCTGCACCACAACTTAGACCTGGTTTCACTTGGTCTCAAGTCTAGTCTATTTTCTGTCACCAACTTGTCAGGCCGGCCGGGGGCGTGTAATAGAAAATGCCCTTGGTCTAAATTAAACTTGCTCTGGCATGAAAATGAAGATGTAACACATTTTACACCAAGCTCTTGCCTATGAAAAAAGGCCCTCAGAATGAAAGTGGTGAACGCATAATGCTGCACCTCTTGAGCTCGGGGATGGGAACAGTGCCTTGCTCAAGGACACTCAACAATAGCCAACAAGCAGACTAGCATCTCTCCAACACCTAGCACTTTGGTTCACAGTGGGACTGAAACTGTGCCCGTCCGGCTGCTGGCTTACAGATGAGCTAAAGCGGTCTACCACCGACGTGAGGCAATCAAACATTACATGCAATAAGCACCACTTGAACTCTCCAACAATTTATGAACTTTGTTCCTAGGAGAAGCTGGACTATCACAGGCGCAGCACTCAGGGGGCCAAATCGGGTTTGTATGTCGGCATCCTGAAACTATGGAGCTCAGTGGAACAAATCAGAGTTCTGGTGCCTCAAAGGCTGCCCAATTTGCTGTGCCACACGAGGGTCAGACACAACGCCCACGTCACCAGGTGACACTCATTAAATTACAATTGTGACTTGAACTAAATTGATTGACACCTACTACCTTATATAATTACATGTATAATGTGTTCGTAGAGTGCCACTGAGTTTGTGTGAGTCGTTATTTGCTAACTCTTTCGTCTTTTCAAACTGCGTTGTCATAGAGAAGAGTGGGCGTGGCTCCAGAGCAATGTTTATGAAACGACCAGTGACGGTGTTCAGAACCTACTCGGCAGCAAGGAGGACAACTTGGTGGAAAATAGCAGCCTGGTGGAGTTCATCAGGGCCCTGAGAGCAGCGGTCTCACATCTTCTGACAAAGCTCAACATCCCCCTCTACAGGGTAAACGCAGATTGACTTTTTGCCACTTGACTTGATGCATCCATCCAAGCAGCCGTCCAACTTGACCACTTACTTAACCCCGTCCTGCCTCGCTCAGTTTACACATGCCAAGAGTAAGTACAATGAACTGGTTAAGGGACAAGATGGCTCTGATGTGTCCATGACAGGCCTACCAGTATGGCGTATACACCAGAGAGCTGCTGCAGTTAGGCGACAAAGTGTCCATGCTGCTGCTTCTCCCTCCAAGTGAAGACTTTAGCTCCAGCTACTGGCCTCTGTTGGGAACCAAAGAGATCGGCCTGACTATGCCCCTGCAGATCTTTGAGCTGGGTGAGTTAAAAAAAAGACACCTAAACGGATCCCAAATTTCTCTTGTGGTTTTTCAAACCGAGTAGAAAATGCCTAACGGGGTTACAACAAAAGTGCCTTTGTTGGAATGTACTTGACTGTATTAACGTCATTCATGGAGGAAATTATTCATACTGAGGCTGCTCTTTTTCAGTCACTTGAATTTCCTTTCAACTGTCTTTGTAACCAGTACACTTTTGGACATATGAGCGGGACTTTGCGTCCCAGTACTGCCGGGCCTGGGTGAGGCTGGATCTGGACACTCACCTCGCTCAGCAGGCTCTGCGGGAGGCGCTGGACACCAGAGAAGTGCAAGTGGCACGTGAGCGTCTCAACCATGTCACCGACCTGTCCCATGCAAGTTTTTTTTTTTTGTGCCAAATATACTCACGTAAACGAGATGTTGCATCGCAAGGGGGTTTGTCCCCAAGAATTTTCAACCAAAACAATCCTCACCATTTCTTGCATTTCTCGATCAGCGTCTGGATGCGGTGTGGCGAGATGCCCGATGGATTATGGACTGCCTGCAGTGCGTTCGGTCCAAGCAGTGGGTGGGAGCGGTGCCTCTTGGGTTGGTCATGGGCGGAGACCCGCCGCCATGCCCCGATCCTGAGGAAGAGAATGAAAGATTGATGGCCAGACTGACGTGGCCCTTTCGGCTGCAGTCAAAGAGGGCCACCGCAGGTAAAAAATGCGGACATGTGTATTGCGCTCTTCAAGCGTCAACCAAAGATGTGCTTTACCACCTTTGTAAAGACTGCATATTTGATACAGTCCTTGCAATGGGCTTGTGCAGTGGTCAAAACGCTGTGGCTAATTGTTTTGTGATCAAAAATTGTTGTCGTATAGCATTTTGAGATAATAGCACTTGGCGATACTAATTCCTGTGTATATGTTTCAGAGACTTTAGTCAGCATGGCTCCACCAAATGTTGTCACGGCCGAAGTGTCCTCTCCAGCAGGAAATTTGGCTGTCATCGAGGAGGCAGCACTGGTGTTAATGGAAGGCGTTGCAAAGGGAGGCTACCCGGTCGACATCAGTGTCCAATCCATTGTGGATATGACAAGCATCGGCCAGTCTGAATTGGGATGTGCAAGCACTTTATTTGAATCTGGACTAGAGCCTGCTCCTGTAGGACCCTTGGAAGCAGGCTTTGCAGCGATGGACGCACCTGAGCCCTTCAGTGAGACGGAGCTTTTCCCCTCCAGCATTTCTGAGGTCATCCGCCCAATGGAGATGGCTGAGTTGGTGGATATTTTGCCCACACTGAGTCTTATTGAAGAGGAGACCCCGAGTAGTCCCTCTGCGCCGTCGGTGATGGATATGATTCAAAGCTTTGGACTGGGGATGGCTGAAAAGGGCAGCTGTTTCGAGTCGGGGAACTCGCTCTTGATGGATGGAGCCATATGTGGGACTGAGACAATCCTGTGTCCTAATAAAAGCAACAGCGTGAATGACACAAACTCTCACCATACTATTCTATTTGAACAAGACGTGCCCAGCTCACACACCACGGTGTGTGACACAGACAGTGCCCCGGAAGGTAACATATCTCTGCAGGATCCCAGTAGGGGACTGCATTTTCCAGTCAGGAACCAGGCCGAATGGGACAGACCATTTAACAGTTCCTCCAGATAAAAAGACTTTCATAATTTATGCAGCTGCAGGTCAGCTGATTTCTCACAGCAACGTTTTGGATCTAGCTGCACATATTAACCGGAGTAGTTTCATAATGGGTCGGTGTTAGTCCAGAAAACCTGTTCTGGAGTTTATAGTATTGTTGCCTTGAGCGCTCTCTGGATTGCCCAACAAATATTTTCCGCTGATTGTCCCATTTTGATGATTCTACTAAAATCAAAACTCCGAACAAATCCAGAATGCAAAAGTTCTCTTTCTTGACACCTAAAATGTGGTGATGCAACATTTAACTGTCAAATGACATTAAAAAAACAAGTATTATGTCTTCTAAAGTGTGTCATGTACTTACTTGTATTTTAAAATGTTGGTTGAGTTGATCTTTCCTCATATCAATAAGTGTAAAGCATTGATTCTCAAAGTGCAGCTCTTGACTTCAGTACAATATATGTGCATTTGAACTTTCAGAACTTTATGAACATTTATTTGGGCACAATTTGTATTTGATTTATGTACAATACAGTTTAATTGAATCGTTATTTAAGTACACTTTTTTTCTACTTCGGTATCAAGTGTATTAATGTTGAAACTGTGGATGACGTGACAGTGGATGATATTAATAGTAATTTTAGCATTTTAGGAATAAAACCTCTATCGTTTTTGGTCAACCCTACCTTATTGCGTGCCTGAATTTTAATGTTGATCATTATCGTGTTGATCATTGGTGGTGGGAGAGCCAAATAATTTTGAGGTGGTACTTAAGTGTGGGAGGAAAAAAAAAACTGTTGGCGAACCACTGATGTAAAGTGTTTGATTGCCCCCGTGTGGCCATAATAAGCCACTACAGCCATGAAATCAAACTTAAATGCAATGCACCATAGTGAAGGAAAATCATTACGACGTATTAGGTTCTTTTTAAATACCATTCTACTCGAACAAAGTAATCCAGTCTGTTTGTTAGGTAGCCCCCCTCTACAGACTGGGACGGAGCATCTTCTCTGTCAGGATGTCAACATCTGAAAATGCTTGGTCATCTGGAGGTATGTCGCTTGCGAATTGCGTGATCGTATTGCAGCATTGTGCCAACGAAATGCCCCCCAATACTCTCCAAACGACTCCTGATCTTAATGTTTCGTTATTCGATGATAGACCAAATATTGTAGTTTGTGCTACCGGCCACATTAGACGCCTGCACTCGAGATTTGTTCTATCAGGAGTGTTGCCCGTAAAAATGATGATACAGTATACAATTATGGCACTTTAAAATCCATATTACGCAAGCTTTGATACGTACATCAACCGTACGTCAAACTAAAAAATGAAAATGTCAAAAACCTGATCTGTTAGAATAAAAAAGTAGACGTTTTTTGAATCAGCATCAAAAATACGTTCCGGGACACATAAAGCCATCTCTGATTTAAAAAAAATGCTGTTGACAAGTGTTAGATTTAACTGTAACATATCCCCAAATAAACGCTTCAACTGGGGCATTTGAAAGTGTTTATTAATGTGTTCAACACAATAATTGAAATGTTAATATGGGTAAAAATATACCATTATATTATTTGTAGTTCACTTGTCAGCCTTCATTCTCTGTACAATGTAACTCAAATTACACTCTCACTCTGTGTAATATGAAGAGATGGGGCGGGGGGTTCATTTTCATTCCTGTCCAATGGAATACTTTGCAGTATCAATGAACATTAAGGTTTAGTTAGAGATTTTGAAAGGTAGAATTTGGATTATGCAAGTCTATCGGTGGCCATTGATAACACGGAAAATATTCTACAGTATATTAGAGTTTACCATGTTTTTGCTGCAGCTCGTGATGCATCACAGTCCACGTCGGAGGTTGAGCTGCGGCTCGCTCTTCTAGGAAAGACGGGATCGGGAAGGAGCTCCTCTGGCAACACCATCTTGGGCAGGCCGGCCTTCAGGGTGGACGTCTCCCCCAGCTCTGTCACCACACGTTGCACGATGGAGACTGGGACAGCAGGCGGAAGGTGCATCTCTGTGATTGACACGCCAGGCTTCTTTCACACACACTTGTCCACTCAGGAGGTTATAGGAGAAGTGGGACGGTGTGTAGCCCTGTCCACTCTTGGACCCCACGTATTCTTGGTGACCCTGCAACTTGGCAGGTTCACCCAGGAGGAGAGCGATGTCCTGCAGTGGATCAAGGCAACATTTGGACCTGAAGCCACCAGGTTTATACTGGTGCTGTTCACATGGGGAGACCAGCTGCAAGGAAAACGTGTGGAAGAGTTTCTGGAGCAGAATGATGAGCTGTCTGCATTTGTCAGCAGCTGCAATGGAAGCTTTCATGTATTTGACAATAGCCAGCAGAAGAATATGACTCCCTGCTCCCAACAAGTGGAGCAACTTCTGACAAAGATCAACAAGATTGTGGAAAGCAACGGAGGCGGTTGTTATAGCAACCACATGTTCAAGGAGGCTGAGAATGCCATCAGGAACACCCAGGAGAGGATTCTGGAAGAAAAGCGACAAAGGTGGCTACATGTTGAGGATGACGAAACAGAGGGCCAACAGCCAGAGCTGCAAAAGGGGCAGAGGGAGGAGGAGGCTGCCAGACGGAGGGCAGAGAGGCTCTTCTGGTGCGAGCTGTTGACTGCGATTGGAACAGGTGCAGCTGAAGGGGCTGGTTTCACTGAGACGGATAAAGGCAAAGGCAAAGCTTTGAAGAAAGTCAAAGTGGTGGAGAAGGCGGCGGCTCTGGTCACCTCGCCATTCTCCATCAGTTCAGCTGCAAAAGTGGTGGGAGGTGCTGTGAGAGAAGGAAGTAAGGTGCTCTACAAGCACCGTAAAACATTCCTACACTGACTGACTGGATTCCAGGCCTGGCTCTGCAGTCCACTAAAACGCATATCGAAATCAGTTCACACGATCAACACGCCACACGAGGCGTCAGTCCGTCACATCCACTTACATGTGTCGTTGATATCATGCACCGCATAAAAAGCACACATTTCCAATGTGTTTGCACTGATCAAGAAAAAAAGGCAATGATAATAAATGTGCAATTTAATTTAGAGCGGAAAACACATTTAAAGTTAAAAAAAAAAGAAAAAAAATCCTGACTACAGCTAAAATGATAGCTTACATTGGAATGAATTTCTATTTATATTACACGTTTATGTTTCATTTTTGGCTTCTGTTCATGCAAAAAATGGTGAGCCCCTTTTAGTCCTGTGATGAAACGCATCATCCTGAGAAAAATTAAATGAGAGAAAAAAAAAAAACACATCAAGGACAAGGACACATCCTTGGCACGAAGGGGGAAAGATACCGTATGAATAAAGAGGGAGTGTCTAATGATTCCAAATGAAAGAAGGCACTTTGTGGTACACGGGGTACACTTTTACATACAAAGTTCTGTTTGTGTCCATGCAGAAAATTTTAGAACATTTCAAAGTGTAAGCACTCATGGAGGTTGTAGATCGACTATGGATCCGACAAATATTTAGGGGGGGGGGGGGGTCTACAATTCATCGGTTCATAGTACATGAAACTGCATTCGTTTGTCTTTGCGACATCAATTATGAAAGCAAATGGTGTTCATATAGTGATGGTAAAGGTGCCCAAATGTAGGCTGCATGTAAAAACATGCGATACATCGTCAACATACAAAGACCGAAAAGAAGTACCAGCCAGGCAGGAATTACATTCGGAGTAAAGCACTTGTTTTGGTCGAAGGAATGTCAGCTCATCTGTCCCCAGAGTTAAAGTCGTACAGTCGAGGGGGTGGTCTGTGCGCTCCGACCGGTGACTAAACGGGCATCGGCAAGCTCATTTTTCCTCTCCCCCTTAGCACTGCAGAGAAAATACAAAACAAAGATGAGGAAAAAAAAAAAAGAACAATTCTCCACTCCTGCTTCACCATGTAAGGCTTTGGGCAAACTTGACACATTGTCACTTTGACTCAAAAAACGGCACCTTTCACTTGACTCGGAGGTGCAAGGAACTTCAAGCCTCGTTTTATTTTTCGATGGCAAACATTCAGATGTGGAACTTTCAAAGGTGAACTGAAGAGGAAGTCTGAAGGTCTGTGTATACAGGCAATATTTTAAAAGTCGGAGCTGGCCGCTTTTTTCAAGTGCCAGATGTGTAAAAAGGAATTTAAATATAAAAACCTGGAAGCCCATTGATGAATTGTCAAGCATGTTTAGTGGGTGACTTTTCCGAAATATTTGCTCAAATTCCTGTGCTGTAGTTCACGGTAATGTCGAGCGGCAATGCGAGCTGTTCCTCCGTCTGCTTTTGTCTTTGGGCTCTGTGACGGCAAACTCGTTGAGCCTGTACTAATTACCGTTTCCTATACCAATGTATGCTGCATGTCCAACGACCGGGCGCAACGTCATCGTGCTTTAAGTCTGATCGAATCTGAGCGCCGTCACGCCTTTTTGATTTTTTTTTTTTCGCACACCAACTAACTGAGGTTCGGTGTTGGTAATTCATCCATTATTATCCGAACGGCTTACCCTCACGAGCCCATCCCGACCGCCTTGGGGCAGTACACCCTCAACTGGTTGCCAGTCAATCGCAGGGCACAGATAGACAAGCAACCCTTCGCGGTCACATATGCGCCTCGGGACAATTTATAAAGTGCCCTATTAACCTGCCATGAATGTTTTTGGAATGTGGGAGGAAACCGGAGTAGCCAAAGAAAAGACAAGCAAGGGTTTCAGCAAATTGGGTGATCCACACCTGGGCACAAGCCGCCATTTTGAGTCAATTCTGAGTCAATTCTCACGTACGCGCTCATAATGACTCCGATGGTGATTTTGTTGATACGCTTAACATTTCTTTGTGTTTATTCGTGATTTGGGGCCAGTATCTTCCGTTTAATATGAATGATACTTCAGGGAGCAATGTCAAATTTACAGTGCACCTGTCATGCATTTGTAGTTTGGGCTCACCTCTTGTGACATAAAGGTAGAAGAAGTCACAGTAGAAAATGGTCTGGACGACGCCCGCCACCACGGCGATATGGTCAAAGAAGTTCTCTGTGTGGTAGCGCCACAACCAGTTGGCGATATAAAGGGCTCGGTACAGGCCAAGGAAGAACAAGTAGTGGGTGGTGATGGACTCTGCCTCGCCCGTCTTGGTGATCATGAAGAGCTGCGGCATGATGGCCACAGACTCCAAGAAGATCGAGAAGGTCCAAAGGACCTGGGTTCAAGAAAGAAGCACAAAAGTTGGGAGTCGGAACTGAAACAAAACTTCACACCATACAGTCAAACGTTTGCTTACCTCCAATGGCGTGAACGCGTAGTTCTCCAGTAAGGAAAGGCCAATAACTGGTACCAACAGGAACTCCACACGGAACGAGTCATTCTCAGAGTCGTAAGTGCCCCTGTGGCGCATGTAGATCATGTACACGGTCGCGTAGGACAGCGCCAAAAACACCACCTGAGGCCAGAGTGGAACTTTGATTACAAATGACATCAAAGGATCACTTAGGAAGACTTGAAATGCGTCCGCTGCTCGTCTTGTGGAACTGGAACACAATGTTTTTTTTTTTTTTTTCATTTTTAATTAGATTTTTTTATTTAAATTAATTTCCCCTTTTTAATACAACACCTGGCCTTAGTGGGGTTGTGGTTGAGCTGGAGAATATCTAGGTTCTCCTGCTTGCTTTCACATTCAAAAAACATGAACGTTGAGTTTATTGAAGACCCTAAATCGGGGGTCACCAACCTTTTTGAAAGTGAGAGCTGCTTCTTGGCTACTGATTCATGCAAATGACTACCAGTTGGTGCACGCTTATGAAATAACCAATTTGCTTGAATGACCTTTGCTATGTTATTGTATTATTAATGATAATCATCGACGTGAGCATACTGCTACTGCTAATAAATCTCACAATAATCATCGACTGATATTACAAGGAATGACGGCCATAAATAGTATGTAACCGCTGGTCAGCCGGCGTTCACATCACATCCACACATCCTCTCGCTTGCTTGCAAGTACAAGCATCGTCGCCCAGTTACCTTCATGACTGTGTTGTAAGGAGAAATGAATATGGTGAATAGGTCAAGGTATCTGGTGGTGAAGACAAGCGCAAACAGCACCTGAGACTTCCCAGAGATGCCTACAAACACAAAAACAACGAGAGCGGTTACAATATTATAATCTAAAATAAACGTTGCGTTTCGTAGGATTTAGTGGGCATGCTGCAAACACGAGTCACAAAAAGTTAGGGATGTTGATTGGGCTTTCAGGTGAAATTTCACAATGAACCGGAAATATACTGTCACCTTTACAGGGGACCTTTTTCGTAATGATTGAATATTTGTCCAACTGTCGCACGATTCAGTACTTTTTGCGGAATTTTCTGTTCATTATGAGGTCTACGTCTTTGCCTTTTTGTGACGCTTCCAGTTTATCTCTGCTGGAGCCTGCTTCTTGGATAAATCAACTCGTTGGCGATCAGTAGCTTGCCGCTTGCTATGTAACAGTTTAGTTTTGTATGGAGTGTAAGAAAGACATGACTTTCCTTCGTCTCCCCGTCGAATCATGTACCGCATCTTCACAGGGTCAAATCATGTTCGCCTGCGTTTTAGGTTAATCGACACATTTCAGACGAAAGATTATTGTGAGCCCAGCATACATAGACAGCAATGTAATAAAGTGGGAGGGGAAGCACATCACAGCATGCTAACTGCCACGTAGCTTCCACTACTACAGACACATTATTCAAATTCCTCCGTTAAAACTTATGGATGATATCAGCGATATTCGTACATGTACTGTAAAAACACGACCTCGCGTCAAATCAATATGCCACTTTGCAAGGCTGTACGATATGCTAAAGCGCAAACGTACAAAAAAAACGCCAACCTACCTGCACATGATCTGGATCTATATATTTTTATTAAGAGAATAATGATGGCCAATAGATGCGACAGATCACCAGCCAGGCGAAACACGTTCATCTTGTGTTTCCTATTCAGTTACAGTACACCTTGATTAAGTTGAATAACTGTGGCCACTGGGCCGACAAGTAAATGCAATTCGCGTTGCGAGCTTATGAAAAAGGCTACAAAAAGATGCCTAGCGTTGATCGCTGTTCACGTAACCGTCGATGTGTGCCGAATCGTAAACAAAACCAAAACAAGCACCACTTAGCATCAGCTCACAAGCCAGTTGTCTGGAAGTAAAGTTTCTGCAAGACCAGGTGACGTGGCTGACAGCTCACAAAGCAGAACGCGAAATCCTTGTTAAGTGACATTCATCAAATAAAGCGTTTCCGGTGATGATTTCCAAAGTAAAAGTATATTGCGTCCACCTAACACATCGTGTTTCGGTTGTTTGTCGTAACTGACTGAACCCGTACATGAATAAAATGGTTAGAATCTTTTGTCTGAATGTGAACTGATTTCTCTGCTGTAAACCTCAACTTTGTCCACGTCATTTGAAGTGGCGATTGAATGCATCCAACAGAGGACTTGAGGGCAGTGCTACCAACTGTACATTTTTGAATTAACCAGGTTAACCTGGTTTGAATACATAGGGGTATCTAATCCCTTCGGTATGCACTTCAAATAAATGTCTTCTTTATTACTAAAAAGAAAACATTTCAGAGCAACTGAATTGCCAGATTGAAGTTACTGGGCTGAATGATGCTGTTGGAAAAAAACAAACAAACATCTGACACACTCAAAATCAGGATTGTGCAGCAATCGAGATTGTAGGTATTGATAGATAAATAGATAGATAGAGTTGTGAATGTTCTTGCTCTACATTAGTGAAGGACCCATTAAAAATGATGAAGACAAATATGCAGACAGGGGAATCAAACGTGCAAGACATAGGCCTACAGTGGATAAATGACCCCAGGACTGAGCTAAAGGTTTTGGCAACTAATCTGGCACCCAGGCCTGCTTAACTTCTATTTATACATACAGAGAGTCAGGTCTCGCTATCATCCTTCTCATATTGTTCACATTGCACAATGGGTCTCCCACCATCAAGTTCTCATTGAGCACTCAGACCCGATGTTCTCTTCCAAATAGGCAGGTAAATATTAGATGTATTCATTTTATTTCACGACTAAGTCTTGGTTGTGAATTCAATCGTCATGGGGGTTCAGCAGGGTTATTTGCTTGAGAGACATTTTGCTTCCATTCATCTATCAATCCATTTTGCTCAGCCCCGTCGCCCCTTCTTTGAAGTTCACCCTTTCTTTGCACACTCCCTTCAATTTCCTGGAAGTCTCGATCCAGCTTCGACAGTGTCTCTAAATTTATGTTTTGTGTTCACCACACCGTTGAAGCTATTTACAGGTTACACGTCTCCCGCCACCCCCGTATTCCTCCTCTTTGCATTTGGCATATTGGCAGAGCTACAACCACATCACCACTCAGAGGAGGTGGTGTTGCAAAAAAGATTCCAATCGGCGCTTGATGGGAGAGGGGACAACGAACGGATTGTGGGTGAACTCAGACAATGAGTTTGTAGGCTATTTATGCTTTATTTACCCTGCATCTGCAATTTAAATTGCTAGATGTACAGTATATTCATTTAAATATACAGTATAACCATTTCGATTTCAAAGAAGTTGGCGTGGATATCTTTAAAACCAAGAGTTTATTGCCAAATTGATTCTTCACTGCAGGAGACCATAACAGACAGTCTGCTTCACTACAGTATGTGATCCATGTTTATGAGATCGGCCTGCGAGAATGCACTCGTAATGACCATATGTAATCAAACACTTCAATCCCCCAATCCACGAACGATGTGCAGTTGAAAATAGTCGTGCTCCCATGTGGCCCCTCATGACATCCATTGTGGACGAATCACGAATGTGAGTGGGAGCCCATCGCGGCTCAAAAGGCAGCAGAGAACTGAAGCTGCAAAGCTCGGAAAGCGTCAACAAACCACGGAAAGTTGCTGTGAGGGAGGCATTTTGTATTATTTCGTCTTCAGTGCTGCGTCGCATCATGCACAGACTTTATTTTTGGTGTGTTTGTTTTTTAAAAAAAAAATCACCTTTAACTTTTGTGCCCCTTTTCTTGTTGCTAGTACAGAAAACACGGCGCAAACTTATCGTACACCGACACATATTTGTCCAGAGGGGAGCCCCCACATCACCACCTTTCGTTCTCATCATTTCTCTGACTCCCCTCCTCCCTCTGCATATCTTTCACATGCTGTGCAGAGGCCAGATTGACACAGCAGTTTCAGCCCAGGCTACACGCAGGAGCGTGCTCAGTGGCGGGGTTATACAATCCGCCAAGGAGGACAATAACGGATTAAAAGGAAGGAATGATGAAAAAGCGGTGAAGAAGAAACAACTAAATGAGAGTGAAAGAAAGGAAGAAGGAAAAGAGAAAGTCATGCACCAGACAACAAGTCGCTGTGGACAGTGCAAAGTGGGGATGTGAGTTTCAATCAAAGGGAAACTGAATCCAAACAGAGAAAACAGCAATCAGCCTGAAAGGTAAGTTTATCTTTTTAGTCAGTTTCTCATGCTCGATTCAAATGGATTAATTTTGTTATATTTTGTTATATTATCTGTTCAAATGAACGAAATGGTCCACTTCAATCGAAAGATCAACAGTTGTACTATAGTGCAATATATATAAATAAACAAACAGCAAATATACTGCTTGCACTGGTTGCAAGTAGATGAAAATTGTAGTTGCACTGTCTCAAATATTAGGGTAAACATTTTTTTTAGGGGTAGTCTCGAAAAAAAACAAAACTGCTGGGCAAAGTATGACCGGGTCACTTTATGTTCGCAGGAGTAAGCAGAGAGAGGTGATCGCACAGGAGGATGGTAAAATAAAAATGATGCAGATACGTCAAGATCAGCTGTTGTTGTCGCCGTGCACCTGTCAATCAATTTAAAACTCAAATCATTTTTCAGGTTCCATCATTTAGCTTTTGATCCTTCTAAGCCAAGAGGCAGACTGTCATCCGTGGCCAAATTAAAGTCAACATGCAGAACTGCGCCACATCCACCTATCCTTTATCTTCCTGTCAGCAACTCCCAGCCGCGACACAAAAATGTCATTTTGAGCGGTTGACATTCAATGTTTATCTCATCAGATGACAAAAATAAAACATCTTAAAACAAAACAAGGGATCATACTCACCAAAGATGCTGATTTATCCAGAGACAAAATCAACTCTCCTTTCTTTTGCTCCAGCCTGTAATCTCGCTGCAGCCCTCATCCGGGCTGCTCCGAGTGTGCGAAGTTCGTTAATCCACCAGCTCGCAATATTTTTCCTGAAAAGTCGGCTTTGAAAATGAATTTTGAATCATATCTGACAGTCATCCGCCAAGCTGACGCCGGCGACTGTGGCCAGCTGACCCGATACCAGGTCAACTTTTCGAACACATGCTGTAGTTTAAGGCTACTACATTTTGCTCAAACAATCCGAGGAGTGTAGCTCTAAAATGATTATCTTTGCTCATCAGAGGCCAGAAGATTTCGGCCGAACCGCGCTCACAGGCAACAATGTTTTATTTTTTTTGAGAAAGCATTAATCATTTCATTATCGCCGCATGTACAGTCGTCCTAATAGATGACTCCGGTAATTGAATCAAATGCATCTGAGATGGAAATGACGGAGGATGGAGTGAGAACGCGTCTCAGGGGCGGGCTGTGGAACCCACACTGCATTTGCCATTTCTTTTTGTGGCAGATGCAAGACTTTATTGCCAAATTGATTCTTCACTGGCGACTGTAACAGTCAGTCAATAATTTCTGTGAACTTTTTTGTTTGTTATTCCCTCCAAAAGGGCTCAAATAATAATAACAAAAGAACACGAGACTAAATGTGCCTTATTCCTTCTTGTTATATGACGGGATTTTTCAAAAATGCTTTCTTCACATTGCGGTGTCATGGCACAATCTGATATATTGCGTCCGCCGTGATCCTCGTGACAAGATAATCCCATCTCAGATGTCTGTAAAACACGGCCGAGTCAAATAAGGATTAAGTCGAAATCCACATTTCTATATCGACAATACGACACAGATGATACAAGACTCCCCCGTGGACAAAATCCGATTAGGTTGAAGAAATATCTCACAAGTTGCAAATATGTCCTGATTGATGTCATTCTGGCTGGTGATTTTATTAATTTTTTTCCACTTCCAAAGTGGTCCCACTTATGACAGACTGTTTGCGCTCCTTTGCTTCTGTTCTTGTGTAGCGGTCTTCTCCGAGGCCCGAGCATTGCCTGCCTGCTGGACGCCTGATCTGTGGGAGTAATCAGACCGGCCTCCCACCAAAACCTCAAATGAGGGATTATTGTTGCCATGGGAACAAGTAGGTCCCACAGGTGATATGGAGGCAGGCTTCTGTGTGGGACTGTTTGAATGGTCTCTCCGACGGGTTCCGTTTGCCGATAGATGAACCTCATCATTAACGGTCGAACAATCAGTGCATCTTCTTTCGACCACGCGACAATTCTCTTCTCTCTATTCGTCATCTCGACGATTCTTTTTTCGGGGGGAGGGGTGGGGGGGGCGTTGTTAATTGGACCCTTAAACGGTGTGAGTCAGGACCAGCTCAGGGATATTTCCAGCAAGCAGATCCTCACAAAGGTTAAGGCCATCCTGTACTGTCCTACACAGAGTTCTCCTCCTCATCCTGCAGCCGCACGAGCATCTGTTACGACAACAAGAGCATGTCATATCTTGATCATGAGATATTGTTCTATGTATGCGTATCTCCGCTATCAGTGGACTGCATCTCTCTCTCTCTCGCTCTCTCCCTTTCTCTTTTTTTTGTTCTTTAATTGGTTCCTAATTCAATTCCCCGCAATGGAATGAATTATTCACAGGGGTAGAGATGACTCTTCTGGACTCAATTAAGATCCATGAATCTGGATGGAATGATTAAACTGAAGAAAATATGAAGTGGGTCTGTGAGGCGTGTCGCTAAAATTTCTCATTCATTTCTGCAGAATAATATTTGTGAGGTCAAACGTGAGCCATGTCGCCTCGCAACCTCTTTTGTGTTTCATCCCGAAAAGGTGTTTGATGGGGTCAACGAGTTTCGCACGAAACTCATCCAAGCAGGCCTCGATGAACCTCGCTTTGCCTCAAACCGCCGCCACCTTGTCGGAAGAATCCCTTTGTCGGCGCGCATCTCGTATCTGCATGTTGGCTCCAAACAGACTGCGACCGACTCAGATTCATACACACACAGTTTATAATCTCATAATCTGCCATGACGCTAATCCCTCTCATGAAGCTCACCTTTCTCAAACGGTAATCCATTTACAGGAGAGACATCTTGAGACGTCAGCGAAGGAATTTTAGTTCGGGTATCCGAGAACCGGTATCACCAAAAATACATTTCTAAATCAAAAGACATAGTTAAGTTTTCCCCCTTCCAGAGTCGAACGCACTTTCCCAGCCTCCTCTCCTGTGACTTCACCGCTCCATTGTCAATAAATGAATTAAGGCAATCTTGAAGTCCTCCAGGTCTTCTCTGTTCTCCTTAAAAACCCACCAAAGTGGAAACATTGACACAATCCAGGTCATGTAAGCCAGAAACGGTCAGATGTTTAAGGCATCACATATAGGAAAACCGCCACAGGTTCTCCTGGCAGCGCTCTCTCGCCTCTTTTCACGCTTTGAACAAGACAAACGCTGGCAGGATCCGTTTGTGGACCTGCTTGTTGACTCACACTGAAAGACTCACGGTTTGGGTTTGAAAAGAGACTGTATATTGTTTGTGACACCAGTCCCGGAACCTTTCTGACCCACCCCCTATTGATGACCTCAATTGTAAGATTCGGGATCCTCCTCCATGTCCGCACGTGGCTAACAAACATGATTCCGAAAGGTCAATTGTGACTCGTCCATTTTCCGTGACATCTTCGTTTGCCTCCCAGGTACAGCATCGTGTCAAACAACATACCGGACGAGGAGCGTCTAAAGATCTGCGCCTTGGATCTCAATAACGGTCACACTTCCTCTGACGTGCGCTCACACTCAGCCTGTGGCACGGAATTAGACAGCAGCAGCAGGAGGAGGAGGCGGCGGCGGCGGCGGTCAGGAGCCTCCGGCGCTGCTGTCCCCGGCGCACGGGGACAAGGAGGGATGAGCAACTACAACGGGAGGGTTCTGACAAGGGGCTCGAGCCAGGTTCGCAGCCGCTTTGTCAAGAAGAACGGCCAATGTAATGTGGTCTTCACTAACATGGAGGAAAAGAGGCAGCGCTACCTGGCCGACATCTTCACCACCTGCGTGGACATCCGCTGGAGATACCTGCTGTTCCTATTCTGCGCCAGCTTCATCATCTCCTGGTTGTTCTTCGGCATCATCTTTTACAGCGTCTCCCTCTCCCACGGGGACTTTGAGGAGCGCCTCGCGGTCAAGGGCGAAGGGCTAGCGACGAGCGGGCCGCGGTCACCCAACTCGGCACGCGCGACGGCAGGCCAGGCCAAAAGGATGCCTTGCATCCTCCACGTCCAGGGATTTGTTGGCGCCCTCTTGTTTTCCATGGAGACGCAGACCACCATCGGCTACGGCTGGCGCTGCGTGACCGAAGAGTGCCCCTTGGCCGTCATCACGGTGGTCGTTCAATCCATCGTGGGCTGCATCATTGACTCCTTCATGATCGGCACCATTATGGCCAAGATGGCGCGCCCAAAGAAACGAAACCAGACACTCTTGTTCTCCAAAAACGCCGTCATCGCCCTTCGCGATGGCAAGCTCTGCCTCATGTGGAGGGTGGGGAACCTGCGTAAGAGCCACATCGTGGAAGCTCACGTCCGGGCGCAGCTTATACGCTCCTACGTCACGGCGGAAGGAGAATTCGTCCCGCTGGAGCAGATTGACCTCAACGTGGGCTACGACGAAGGCACGGACAGGTTGTTTCTCGTCTCGCCGCTGGTGATCGTCCACGAGATAGACGAAGACAGCCCCTTGTACGCCGTGAGCCGAATTGATCTGGAGACGGATGAATTTGAGATTGTTGTGATCCTCGAGGGAATGGTGGAGGCCACCGCCATGACCACCCAGTTCCGCAGCTCTTACCTTTCCAGGGAGATCTTCTGGGGCCACAGGTTCGAGCCTGTCATCTACGAGGACCGCAACTGCTACAAGGTCGACTACGCACGCTTCGACAAGACTTACGAGGTGCCGTCGACGCCCCACTTCAGCGCCAAAGAGCTCGAGCGGACCGTGAGTCGGGCGTCCTCTGTGGTTTCGCCCATCTCGGCGTGCAGGTCTTCAAAAAGCTTGATCCCATGTTCGGTCAGTACCTTCTGCTATGAGAACGAGGTCGCGCTGAGCTGCGGGGAAGAAGAAGAAGAAGAAGAAGATGACATCTTTGACTCTTCTCACCTCGTCGTGAAGGAAAGAGCGGAGGAGAGAAGGACTTCGGTCGACTTCCAGAACATGTTTCAGGACACGGCCACCATGACATCGGGGAGCCACAATGTCATGTGTGTTCTCGACATGGACAATAACCAGATAGAGTTTGACATCCTACAGGCGGCCATTCCGCTTGATCCAGTGACGTATAAGAACGAGCCAGAGATTTGAAGACGTACACTTAATACCGTCTTGCAGTTTGGCATTTGGTATACAGCGGAGAAATCATCAAAATATATCACTGAAGGTTGACCAAAGTGAAAGTGTGCAATGTTGCTTATGGCGGTTTTATTCTCTTTTTAAGTTTTCTGCAATGTTGAACTTGTAATCACTTTGCACTTACTCATTTATTCTTTTTTTTTTTTTTTTTTTTAAACGTGTGTCTGGTGCAAATGTGCATCTGGGCGAAATCGTACACTGGAAAAAAAAATCTTGCTTCCATTGCGTTTACTTAATTCGGACACGTGCGTTGGTTGCGCATTATTCAAATGTATTAAACTAACCTACATCATTTGAATATTTTGGAGGTAAGAGTAGAATTTTAATCATGTGAGACTGAAAGTAAGTACTCTTTTTTTTTTTACGCTTCACTCACTGACAACTAACATTACATTCACTTGAAAAAGTATTGTTGTTTATTTTGGTAGTGCCGAAGTAGGTTAAAAAAAAATTTCCACGTGCAAATCGAAACACACGCACACACACACACATACACACACACACACACACGCACACACACGCACACACACGCACACAAGATGTGCATGTTTTGAGTGTTTTCAATTTCAACATTCATTGGGGTGAGAAGAAGAGAAATGGTACATACCCAGTGTAATGTGTTTTCTTCCCAGCTTTCTACATTTTCCAAACACACACAAATAATTTATTTTAAATGTAATAGGCATTTTTATTTAAAAAAACACACTGCACTTTAATATTTAATGTTGAACTTAAATGTCAGAAATAAATCTTTGAATCGTTTTTGCTGTTGTATTCTGTGCCACTAGATGGCAGTGCAGCTATTTCAAGTGCACGAAAACCACCACCAAGCTCCCGGCAGGCCTTTGGCAAGATCTCACAGCGAAGTCAACAAAAGCTGATAATAAAATCCTGTCTTTGGTGAACTCAAACACAAAAATGTTACAACATCAAAAAAAAAAACATCGGCTGGAGAAGGTGGAATCAGTGTCCAAATCTACAATCAAGAAACTTGAAAAGGGTTCTTCAATATGTCAATCACCTTCGTGTAACAGCCGGATGAGACACTGCTCGAACCCGAGGTCAACTTGCATCAGAATGACAGCGAAAGCAAATCGATAGCGAAAGAAAGGTACAGCCGTGATCCAAAGCACACCGCATCACGCCAAGGCGGCGTTAGGCCATCGACACGTATGACTGAAAACGCCACAGGCTCAACCCTGCGTCGAATGGCAGACGTGACTGTTGAAATGAAACATGAGGGTGCATTGCGATTACGTGCACGTGAACAACATCATCGGATGCGGACTGCGGTAAGAACTCTCACGTTTATCGAACGGAGGCGAACGCAGTCGGTCTGTTCGATCCCAAACGGCAAAAGAGAGGAGGACCAAACGACTCCTTTTGGCCTGGTGGGTCCGGAAGGGCGGAGCTCGATTCCATCTTGTGACGCACGCAGAAACTCAAAAGGCCCCAGCCCCAACATGGATCCTGGCCTAAACACTCAACAGAGGTGCTGCGGTATTAAACATTCATCCCATTGAAAATCATTCGAGCTGGTTTTCAGTTCTGTCCGTCACTGACGGACTCTGCCGCTCCTTTCTACTTCCTATTGCTGTGCATTTTGAAGTGGTTTGTTTCCATCAGGATCTCAATGTAATCAGCATCTTTCAAAATCGGGGGTCGGTTTTGACTTGGCACCAAGTCTCCCGTCACATCAAACCATTGCGGTTCCCATGCACCGGCACCAAGCTGGACATTTGAGTCTCATGAGGACAGGAAGTGCAAATCTACTGGCCACACACACACACACACACACACACACACGCACACACACACACACACACACACACACACACACACACAAGAACGGTGAGAACAAGGGAGGAAAGTGGCGAGCTGTGCAGGAACCGGCCTGGAGGCGATCGGCTTTTCATTAACGGGTCACCGAGTGAATGAGAGTCATGGGTGGAATCGTGAAATGGGAGAAGCCGGGTCACGACGGTAAAGGTTCTGATGCATGTTTGGGGGGGGGGGGGGGGGGGGGGGGGGGGCTCCCACGGGCTCCGTATTGTGCATTGTCTATGAAGAGAGCAACCGAGGCCCAACACTGAGTCTTTGTGCCGGACATTTAACTGCCTGTATGCATGCTAATTATGGGATATTTGTCTGTGCATACGTGTGTGAGTGTGTGTGCGCGACAACGGTTTTCCGCGGTCAAGGAAGTCCACCCTCTTTCTCCTGGGACTTGCACTTCTCCCATGTGAAATAGATAAACAATACATTGCCTGTTTCGGATGTCGGACGTCAGACAGAATCCCTCCATCATTTTTCAGGACCCGCCCCTCACCCCAAAAAAAAGAAAAAAAGACGTTTGTTGAGCAATGACCATGACATGGTCACAGAGCGCAAACCATTTTGAACACTTTAGTTTTTGTATTTGTATTTGTTTTTGTAATTTGTGAAAATAACAGACCCATGTGGGGACGGACCAATCATGCTCATCTGTGTGGGGAAAAAAAAAAAAAAAAAAAGACTGACCAAATTTGGACATAGGAGGTTTCCACCTGATGCCAGCATAATGCGTTTGTCATTCATGTTTGTTTCCGGATTGATAATAATCGAGCGATGGTCTACAAAGTCTTCAGTTTTCAGACACGACAAGCGGTATGTTAGCCACACCATATGCGAGCTTCGAAAAAGGAGTCCAAATAAATGGATTTTGTGCGTGTGGCTTTTAAGCATCAATTTATGAGAATTTTAGATTTTGAACTGGAATCTGTTGCGATTCTTGGTAAAAATTGATGTGCGTGTGTGTTGATGTCAGTCTGAAGAAGCAGCTGTGGGCCCCGCATTTGAACTCCGGCTCACATGGGCAAAGCGAGGCAGGGCCGCAGGGTGAGAACGCGATGGGAGAGGGAAGCGCTAGCTGACTAATTTACCGTCTCCTTCTGCTCTTTCATCTCCCCCTTCTCAGTTTCCAACAACAAACTCTTTCATTCAGGCATCTTTGCGGGCAGCCGCCCGCAGACCCTCGAGACCCCCCGTCCATTCACTCTGGTTTATTCAATGTTCCATGAAAAACTCATGATTAGAAAGTGACTTTTTCTTTTTTTTTTTCCATACAGATTCTTTTCTATATCTTGTCTTGAGATGCGTCTTTTGACTTTCTGTTCTCGACAGAATAATGAACCTGTAACAAGAAATAATCTTCACAATGTCTCATGAAGTCAAGCCAGGACACAGAATTTCAGTTCCTTCAATGCAAAAATGCTCCAACGATAGTCAACACACCACACACGCTCGATTCAAAGAAGCTTTTTTGCAAGTGTCCGAACTGCGCCTGAGACTCACACACAACCTGACGCCCGGTTCGGAATCCTACGGCGGTTTCTGAGATCGTCATTCCAATGAAACCTTTTTTGCAAGGCCGATGGTTGCCGCGCATCCAAAACAACGAGCAGTTCGACAAGATGCAGAAAGGTCCCCACAAAGCACACCCTTTGTTTGCAGCTAAATTCTTGCGGTTCACTTTCTGAATGTTTCGGCAAATGACTCAATCTGCGTCCTTCGCCCTCCACCCGATTCGCAATTTTCAGTTAACGCCCTCATCTTACAGAGACGCCATCGCCTGCGTGCATTATGCATCCGTGCAGAGATGGAAAAGATACGAAAGTGGCAGATGTAAGATTGTGGGACTGACTGTTGGCGGATATAAAAGGCGGCGTTTGTAATTCTCTTGCTCCAGCTGCAGCAATGTTCTCGTCCGCCGTCAAAGCGTGCGAAGCTTTTCACTTGTCTCGACGCTAAACATGCTCTCATCCAAATGTGCTCGTTGCCAAATGGCCTGGGGGTGATTTGATTTCGACCGTTTATTGATGACGGCCTTTTTTAGTTTTGGGAAGTGCAGCGACAAATCGGGCTTCTTTCCACTGGTCAGGGAATTTTTCAGGCCCTGAGGCGACGGCCACACCTTCCTCGGTCATTCTTCTGCATTTCAAAGCTGATTTTAATAACCGAGAAGAAAACTGGCAATTAAAACATTTATTTGAGAGAGTCACTACGTTTCACCGGTTGTTCCCAAAAAATTCCCCTGGGAAAGTACCGGAGGAAAAGCGCAGGTTCTCCGCCTCTGTAACATTCACATTTCAAAGTCGCGATTTCATGCGGTTCATTTTCCATTTGGCGATTTTGCTTACAACCAACATCTTTACACCGTAAACGTCATGACAACGACCAGATTATTCCCACAAAACTGTGAAAAGGCCTTCGTTACAACGAATCCAGGGAAGCTAATTGCCGCCGTGGCCTTGCTTAGAAACGAAATATACAGCGCGAGATTCCCCTCCGTTGCTTAGCAATGATACAGATCGGCTCGTACATGGTGGCACTTCCGGTGGCACGGCGCACGTGGTCTGAAGCAAATCTGTCTGTGAAGCCTGAAATTGCCCGTTACTTTGGAAAGGGAGTCTCCCAGACGAAGCTCAGCCGACACTACGAAGCGGCAAAGTCGACGATTTCGACAATCATCCGTACTGGCACCAAAATCACGGCAGAGTTCGAGGCCGACAGACAAGTCCTGAACTAGAGAAAGCAGCGCGGAGCGAAAGTTGGCACCTATTCGGCGGCCAGTAAAGCTTAAAAAAAAAAAATTCCAAGCTACAAAACATATGAGCAGAAATCTAGGCAACTCCCACATAACTTCAGACAACATGCAGTCGTTTTCACTTGGAATAAAGCAGAGCATATGTCTTAAAAGTTGACTGTATTTGTCTTCTAACCCCTCAAATTTTTTCTTTTTTAATGAGATGAGCCTTGCAAATGCGCTTCTTGGAAGTGGAGCACGGGGTTGCATGGGTTGGCTGCAAAAATGCCACTGCAACCTGCTTGGAGGCATTTGGAGTGCGGACTTGAGCCAAAGTGAAGATTGTTTAGACCTAAACTGAACTGGAAGGCAACGCAAATCACCCTTGTACGCTTTAACACGCCATGAAGGAAAAACATCAGACAAGCCCTGGGCATCAAAAAAAG